TTATGAAGTCTTGAGAATATGGTTGTGCTTCTAGCCAAAAAAATGTTTCAAGATAACACTTTCGTGCATAGAATTGCTCACAACTTGCAAAGTTTAATACATAGGCATACATGACCAAGAGTAGTGGCTGGTCCCCGCCTCGTGCAGGTTGGTTCAAGATTAATGTCGATGCTAGTTTCGTGGAGTCCATTAGAGAAGCCAGTGTGGGGGTGGTGGTCATGGACGAGGAAGGGGAAGTTATTGTTTCGTCGTGGGATTTCATTGATGCATGTCAAAGCATGGAGGAAGCGGAGCTTAGGGCTTGCATTGCCGGTCTCATAGGTATTTTTCTTCATAATCCTGTAATTTTAGAGACTGATTGCGCTTTTGTTGTAGCGTCTCTTGCATCGGAGGACTGCACAAGATGAAAGCGTTGAGCCTCTCGAAGTTGATCAACAATTTTCAATTGTCAAAGATTAGCCGTTCGGCCAATATGGTGGCACATTTAATCGCTAAGTATAGCTTTCACAATAGATTAGATGGTATTCTTGTAAATGACGTACCGCCCTGTGTGGTGAATATTGTATCGAATGAGTGTACGGGTGTGGCTGGTTAATTAATATTAGGTGGTGTTCAATAAAAAAAAGAGTCAGTGATCTTTCATTCCATAGCTAGCACATGCCAGAAAGATCCACGAGATAAAGAATGAACCGATCAGCAAATTCAGCAAAATATGACATTTCTAGATTTATTCAAAGAATATGCAAGAAAGTTAGACCAACATGTAGATATTGATAGTGAACTAATTGATTTCTAAGGCCTATAAAATCCTTTCTGGACCCATTCAGTTGGTTTCAAGTCTACATTCGAAAACAGAAAATGGACTGCAAGAGCGTACAATGATAAAATCGATGTAAAGGGAACCTGTAAAGATTCACTGTCAATTGACTCACGGCTGTTACGTAGTAGCATCTACGTGTGCTGGTTTGACGCATGCAGATGGTACACACATGTTAAAAAAATGTATTTACTGGTCAAATTCCAACATCATCTGCCTAGACAGAAATCTACATAGATCAATTTACCCTGGAACATGCTGGAAGATCAGATCAACAAATAAGTAATTCTGGAACAGGATTAACCGGCTGCTGTCCATCGGAGATCGGGTACCCAAGAATTTCCCCCAAAACGGGCGCTTGCGCCGAAGAAAACAGAAAGGAACGCCCGCGTTAGAAGCAGGGGGCGTATCACTCGCGTCGCCTCGCTCGACTTGCCTCTGCTCTCCACCTGCAGCAACCTGGGCCTCGCCCAGCTCGCCCCCAGGATTTGGATCCCCCTTTTGCCGGCGCCTGCCTCGCCCGGCGGTTTTTCCTATTTGCCGCTCGCTGCGGCAAATTGCCGGAGCGAACAAGCGCTCGGGGTGGGCCGGCCCATTAAATGCTTGAGAGTTTCCGGTTTTGGGAACGTTCTAGCTGGTCCCCAGACGGTTTTCTCCGGTTTTGGGACCTTCTAGGGGTTCCTGAAACGTTTGTTTTTCCTTTTTTATCTTTTTTTCGTTTTTATGTTTCATTTTTCTGTTTTCTGATTTCTTTTTCTTTATTTTTCATTTTTTCATTTTTCATTTTTCTGTTTTAAAAGTTATTTTCTTTTTTTTTCAAAAAATATTTGTGTTGCTCACAATTGTTCAAATCTTCACAAAATGTTCTCATTTTTTAAATTTTGTTCATGCTTAGAAAAAATTGTTCAAAACTTCACAAAATGTTCTCATTTTTCAAATTTTGTTCATGCTTTCAAAAAATTGTTCAAAACTTCACAAAATGTTCTGATTTTCAAAAAAAATTCCTGACTTGAAAAAAAGTTCATGCTTTCAAAAAATGTTCAAAGTTCAAAAAATGTTCTCATTTTCAAATTTTGTTCCTGACTTTAAAAAGAATGTTCCTGGCTTTCTATTTTTTTTATTTCTCTTTTTTCCTTTTTTGTTACTTTTTTTAGTTTCTGTTTCTTTTTTTATGTTTTTTTCACAATTTCACAACTTTGCAAAATTTGTTTGCAAATTAAGAAAAATGTTTGTTTTTCCAATTTTTGTTCATGAGTTTCAATAAATGTTCCTATTTCAAAATTTGTTCGCATTTTTCAAAAAATGTTCGTGTTTGAAAAGTTTCGTAAAATGATCCCGTTTCAAAATTTTGTTCACATATTTCAAATTTTATTTGGGAGTTTTAAAAAATGTTCACATATTTCATACGACCTTCTTTTTTTTTGTCAAACATAACGTTCGCGTACAAATATTAGAAATGTTCGGATGTGCGCTCGGTTTTGTTCTTAATATGTTGTGCTGCGGTAGAAACTAGGTAGCTCTCTAGATCAGCTGGTTAGCTGCACTTGTTTCACGCGTCTGGCATTCTTTTTATAGAGTCCGGTCGGCATTCTGCCGCAAAGAGTGGCACATAGGAGCTCTCTCGCCTGGCCAGCCTCTCCACCAAGCGACGCTCCTGTAAAAAAGCAATCGGCCGAGCAGTTCCCAGTCCAGCTAGCTAAATGGGCTAGGGACAGAGTCCCATTGTACCAGAGGGCTCAGATTTTCCTCGGAAAAAGCGCCCCTCCAGGGCTTTTCGCCCACGAGTTAGCAGATGCGGTTCAGCACAGAAAATCTAACAGCCTGGAGTTGCTCAAAAAAATATCTAACGGCCTGGATGGCCAGATCAGGAAAACAGATGGCCAGAAACGCATATGAGACATGGGAGGGCTGGAAAATGGCTCAATTTTACTGTCCTAAATAAAAATAAAATAAAATAGGTTGAAATTATCCAGCGCGTTCATATCAATCAAGTAACAAGCTGGCATTTATCTCAGGTGTACTTTCGCAACTTTTATAATCATACTGTAAATTGAAATCATAATAAAAATATATTGCCTCTCCCCGCAAAAATAAAAAAAATAAAAATATATTACCTTTGGAAACCATAAAAAAAATTAAGTGTCTTCAGTTTCAGAATGCATTTAGAGAGTACTAGTTCATAGTAACCAGGGACATGTCTTGTCATCCCAAGATAAGTGGCATGAATATAGTCTAGACGATATATTTGCCTTTTTCAGCCAATGAGGGCAGTCCAATGTTATCTTCTGCATACTGGCCAACTAATGCAACTAATTTCGGCCTTAGTTATTACCCGAGGCAGCTCTGCAGCTTAGTTGTGGTTCAATATACTATCACCAGGGCTCCATCGGTATCGAGTAGGCTCTATAAATTCTGAATTCTTTCAAGGAGATTATTGAAAACGCATAATGCGTTGTGATGTGAAGGCACAATGATGTCTTTGCTTGATATTTGCTCTTTTTCTTTTTGCAATAGTTGGTGCTTACTCCTCGATAGACTCAATGCTCATGATGCCGGTGCCACTTCAGTGTTGTTGAGTATGATGCCTCCTCTTGTTCTATGCCTCTTTCACCGGCCTCACACCGTTGAAACATTTGATCACTTTGTTTTTTCAATATATCTGTGTTTTAGAAATCCTTTTGAATCAAAGAACAACAAGGTTTGCCCAGCTTCGGTGAGGGAGGAGCAATGACGGTGGCGCGTCTTCGGCTCGCTTCAGTGCTTATAGTCGTCGCTAGATGGTCCACGGACATTGTTGTAATTGTTATTACCTTTGTTATTATTTGTACTGTCATAATTGAAAATGAATAAATTGAAAGTTTCTCATAAAAAAATAAAGAGAGTTCTTTGTTATTATTTGTACTGTCATTATTTGTACTGTTATTATTTGTTCGGCTTCCAATGCTCCACCTTGTATAGGTGCTAAGGCTGTCATATAGACAAAAAGTCTGATGTGGCAAGGTAATTAAAAGGAGAGAGATGAGTGTGATGACCCAGAAAGAAACAATGCCAAGCGCGAGAACCTAGGGAAAACACTTAAATTGGAAGGATCCCACCAATATATGAATAACTTTAGTTGCAAGATCATTAAATGAAGGATGCTTAGCACCAACAAATTAAGGTCATGTTTGGTTCATAAGTCCTAGGAGTTTTTCTAGTCCCAACTAAAAAGTCTCTAGTCCCTAAAAAGTCCCTCCCTGTTTGTTTCCAGAGACTAAAAAGTCCCTAGTCCCTTCCTAGAGGTTATTAAATGACCATGTTGCCCTTAATATATAGAAAAATAACAATCAAACAACACCATGGGGTGGCGGGCCAATGAATGCATGGAGAGGCATTGTTGGAAAATTCCCAAAAAATCCCAAAAAAGACTCTCCTTGAGAGTCTTCTTCATTTAGTCCCAAATGCCTAGTTTAGTCCCTAAAAAGTTCCTCCCGTTTGGTAAAAAAGTCTCTAAGAGGGACTTTTTCTAGTCCCTACACAAAAAAGTTCCTGGAAACAAACACCTCCTAAGCACCTATGCATTGGGGGCTTTAGAGCATGCTTGGATACAAGGGACTATTTTTAGTCTGACTTAAACTAGTCTCTTTTAGAGGCTAAAGTTCCAATCACCCCTGACTAAAGAGAGGCTAGAACTAGTCTTGAGACTAAAATTTTTTAGTCAGGGGAACCCTACTAAAATGTGGATTAGTCCTCTCTCTCCTCATTTAACTCATCTCCTTTAACACATGCGAGTTATAGATTTGAGGGTTTGGAGGATAATAAATGCTCATTAACTCGATTTTAATCTATTTAGTATTTGTATCCAAACATGGGCGAGGCTAGCAAGTTTTAGTCCCACTACTTTTAGTCATGAGACTAAAACGTATCCAAGCATCCTCTTAGTTGCTAACATTTTCAATGTGCTTAACATCTCATGTAAGCACCAATACATTGGAACTGGCCTTTACTCGAACAGATCCCCACGATCCGGAGGTTGTACACCCATGGTCAGCAACCTTAAATAAAACACATTTTTACCCCTGAAAAAAACAATGTCACACGAATGCTGATACAGTACCAGATACGCATCTTCGTGTAGCGTCCGGCCTGTGTTTCCCCGTCCCCTCTTTGCAGCTGTCACCGGCGGCTACTCTACTCTCCCCGCATGGCGTCGCCTCCACCGCCGGCTCCCGCCGCCGCGGCCGCCCACAGCGTGTTCGTCTACGGCACCCTGATGGCGGAGGAGGTCGTGCGCGTCCTCCTCGGCCGCGTCCCGCCGTCCTCCCCCGCGCTCCTCCCCAACCAGTACGTGCGCCCTCCGCTCCACTCCTCCCGGCGTTCGTCCTGTGTTATCCCTCTCCCTCTGCGCCCCCCTTTCGCTCTTCTCACGTTGCTTTTGTCGCAGCCAGAGGCTCAGCATCAGGGGCCGCGTCTACCCGGCGATCCTGCCCGTCGACGGCAGCAAAGTCCCCGGGAAGGTGCGTGCAATCCCACACACACACACATCGCGTTTGCTTGGTGTTAATTTTCTTAGGTTGGCCGGTGCGAGTTAAGATGTGAGAAATGGCGAGTACTGTCAGTATGGAACGGTTGAAGTGCAGAAGGAGTGACAATCTGTTCCTGTGTCTGTGCTGCAGGTTTGGAAGGGGATCACTGACAGGGAGCTCGATGTGCTGGACATCTTTGAGGATGAGCAGTATGTCAGGGAAACTGTTGGTATCTCGCTGACCGTAAGTCCATTCGCCGGCCTAGTTCTCTGCTCCAGTCGATGGTAGCCGGATTCATGCCGAACCGCAAAATTCAGTAGAATGTTCAGTTGGAATCAGTTATCCTGATACCCTTTTTAATGATTGAGCCCTCTGTTTGGAGGGGGGAAAAGCATGATTTTCGTATTTGTCTTTAAAGGCATGCAGATATTACTGCTATCAAGTGGTTTTGTTCTATCATGAAAGGATGGCACCTTAGAGAACAATTCTTCACTAGACTGTTCCACGGAAACAGGACTGAGTACTTTGGCTATGCAGGATTCAGCGGACACAATGATCGCCTATACATACATATGGGGGAATGTGGATGATCCTGACCTCTATGGTGAATGGGATTTTGATGTGAGTACTTCCCTTCATGCTAATCTTAAGCATTTTTTGTATGATGAATGAAAGGCAGACAAACACCGCCGCTATCTAACTCAGCGCATGCACCAATCTGATGATGCTATGAGAAAGCAAAGCTGTTGCAACATATGTTATTAAATTACACGTATAATGCTACTATTTGTTAAACAGTCTCCATTTGCTCAGCTGATACGAATTCTGATACGAAGAATAACATCACTAATTTACCGTGCTTGATTTAATGAAGTTCTGAGTATGCCACTATTTGCTGCTCACTGGTATATGCTATTTGGCAATGTCTTGCTCTCTTCGGATTTCCGGGGCATGTTTCCGTAGTATCCATTCAAGCACTGACCTGTATACTACGTGGTATCTGTAGGAATGGAAGAAAGTGCATCTGAAGGACTATTTCACAATGACACAAGATTTCAAGGAGGAACTGGAACAGCTTGAATCTGAGACACATGATTGAAGCTTGCCAATCATTCTTCCAGAAGGATTAATTCGCCAATTTATTGTATGTGCTTTGTTCAACCAGCTCTAATGTGAATTGTAAATAAGGTATTCATCGGATTGCCATCAACCTAGCAAAAAAATAAATAGTTTTCATATCTTGTGACGACCATAGACTCGAGGTGTTCAAGTCTACGTTCTTTTCTGTGCTTTTTGGATCCGTCAATGCTGCTTGAGACATTTGCATGTGAAACAAATTAAACTTGAATTTGTTTTGCGTAAGTTGTACTAGCCCTTTTGCCTGTTTTGCCATATGCTGTCATGTTAAAATTTTGCCTATGGTATATACCTATCAGTCACACTCTTCATCCCTCTTGATCAATGAACAGTTAATAAGTTCTGTCATAAAATTCAGCCAAAATAAGGGGTAGAGAAAGTCGTGCTTCCAAAAAACATGTGTAAGAGGTAGTCCTGGCAATAATCAACAAAACTCATCACATTTCCAGTATGCCATGAAAGGTCAACAGGTCCATTTGGCGGATTTAGAACCAAATTTCATATGGGTGTTTGATAAGACCAAACAGTAGAACTACATGGAGGCTTGTTATCTCAGTTTCATTTTTTTAGTAAACCTAGCAGTTTCTATTTGGGGATGGTGACCTTAATAAGGGCTACACACAACCCAACAATAGTCCAGTACAAATGTTCTTCCCAAGAACATACTATCTTCAGATCTGCCTAACTGTCTCAGGTCTCTAACAACTCTGGGAAAGTTTTCAGTTCTCATCCCTACGACTCGTTTCAACTGATAAAACTACATATATATCCAAAATAAAACCTAATCTGAGGAGCATTTTTCCTCACAGCTATAAGCTGACGCATCTACACTACATTCTTCACTGCATTTCTTTTGCAGCTTTGATGATTGCTGTAGTACACATGAATCCATAATGGTGAAGACAAATAGTGAATACAACTAACCAAGATGTTAACATGATAACTATGTGAATGCGCCTCTAAGTCATGTCATTCGAATTGGTCATAGGGGCCAATGGAAGGGTTCCCGGAGTTCTGCTCGTAACGAGGCTTCCAAGTATTCCCTCCATCTGAGCTGCTGCAAGCCTGGTTGGGCAGAACATTGCTCCCTAAATCACCATCCAGACTCATCTTCTGCACTTCTTGAGGGGACAGGATCCTAATGCACTTCACGCAATTCACAAACTCCCTGCATCATCCACATGAAAAAAATTAGGGCAGCGATGGATAGAATCTCTCACGGTGAACATTCATGTGCACATCCTATATGCATCAACACAAACTTAGATGTATGAAAAGAGGATAGTGGCACCAAACACAGTCTATTCCAGTTTTTTCCTCCCCTATTTATGTTTCAGTTATGTCAGCGTCCTGGATTGATCCTGTTTCACATTTCTAAACATTTCTACATGTGTCCTTTTGACAAACTTTATTTGGTTCAGACCGGGAAGTTTAGAAATTCAGTTAAACACAGGCAGAAAGGCAGATGGACTTACTCCCATGGGTCATCGCCGAGAAGTAGGACGTCATCCTCATGATCTGTGTAGACTAGCTTCCAACCGATTCTCTGTCGGTCTTCAAGTTGCCCCTCTATACCAAACATGCGGGCCAAAGCTTGATTCAGTTCTCCATATCCAGAGAACCTACCGATGTCAATGGACCGGCCTACAGCTCCACGCTTGTACACCTACAAGACACAGTTTAAGCTAAGATACAAAAGGGGAAGCATACAACAAAGAAAGCATACTCTCAAGAGAATATGGCTCCATAATGAGCATGGCCATACGAGGGCCCTGATTTCCAACTAACCCTTTAACAAGCTTTTAAAGCTCTATGTGCCTATGTGTGACCATCTCATCCACTACACATAGAAGTGTTGTCTTACAACATATATCTCATGCAATCAGTTCTTATCTGAACCATCAACCACCATTTCAAACATTATTACATACAGAATGTAAAAATTATATTGGTAAAAAACTGTAACTTTGCTAAACTACAATTGTTGTTGTGTGCATTCCTTTTTTAAAACTTTTTTACAGGCAATTGCAATGACATTATTTTATAACTAGCTGCTGGATCATAACTTAGTTTTGAGATGGTCATGTTCTTAAAATATCTCAGTGGAGGGGCTTCATTTTGCTACTATTTGGTAATATAGGCACCACACGACATATACTGCCTTAAAAATCGTACTTTCAATAGGATAAGCACATAACAGAAAAAGGAAAACCTTGGTGAATGTACGCATCCTCTGTGGTGGAGCAGCAGGAGGCCAAGAACTTCTGTTCATTAAGGCACCATCATTAATTGCAGAATCGATGGAATTAAAAGCCATATCTGATTGACCAAATGACTGTGAAACCATGGAGGTTGATATCTCTTGACGGGCATCCTTTTGCATCTGGTAGTTGTTCTCATCATCAGTTGAGAAATGATTCTGATACTTCACAGAATCAAGTGCATTTTCCAACAAGCCTTCTGTTTCCATAGGAAACCCTAATGGGCCATCATTGTTCATCCCAAAGAGGGCACTGTTACTTGGATCCACACCTTGAATTTCTACATCAGGAAGTTCATCTTTGAACATCTGGTGCTGGTTGAAGTTAGAAGTGGCGAAACCTTGATGCAGAAGTCCATCTGTTTGTGAAGGCCATAATGAAGTTGCTGACGAAGCTGTTTCCAGGTTGTCTGTTGGCAGTGCATTGTTCATAAAATTTTGAAGGCCGGACACAACATTTGGTAATTTCGAGGTGATCGCACTTGACTTAACACCATTGTTTAACTTTGGCAATTCCTTGGTCGTTACTGGAGTGACTGATACAGCTTCAATGGGGGTCAGAATTGACATCTGAGCAATAGAGTGTGGCACCTTCTCTGTGCTGACTTTGCAATGATCATTCCTGCCAATGGTTGGCTGCGCAAGATGGTTGCCATTAGCTGTGGAAGGGGATGTCGAACAAGAAGGTATTTCTTCTGTAACAGCAGATTGTGCAGCACCCGGAACTATCATGGTGTTACCAGTTTTGGGGATCACACTGGTAGAAGAGATCTGTGCAAAGGCAGCTTCTGACACATATGTAGGTGCAACCTGTTTCTGTGAAGGCTTCTGCTGTTGCTGCTCTTGCTGAATGGGCGGTGGCAGTTGTGTTGTCTGCAATGAAGAAGTTCTGCAGTCCTGTTGGGGCATCACTTGTTGCTGGGCAAGCGAATGTGAATTCGACAACTGCTGTTGCATGTCTACAAGAAAATTTTGCTGCTCTTGGATTATTGGTAATCTTGAGAGTGTAACTGCGGATTGTGACATCAGTGACTGCTGCTGTAGTTTCTGTAACAGCTGCAAGTGGAGTTCCTGCTCGGACAATTGTGTTTGCTGACTTGCCAGATTAGCTAGCTGCCCAGGCAACTTATTTAGCTGCTGCTGCTGCTGCTGCTGTAACTGTTGGTGAAGTAAAAGTTGTTGCTGCTGCATTTGCAAATTTTGGTCCTGCAGTTGATGAGACTGAAGCAGGTGCTGGCCACTGGACCCATGCTGGTTTTGAGTTGGTGATGGTGGCGGTTGTTTTTGTTGCTGTTGTTGCTGCATCTGATTCTGGAGAATTACTTGTGCCTGGACATTATTAGTTTGAGGCTGGGCCTGGCTTAGGGGAATTGCTTGGATACTGGACTGCTGTTGCCTCTGCTGATCTTGCTTCTGATCTTGGTGATTTCTGATGGCACCTAGCTGATTCAACGGAAGTGCTGCATTTGACAAATCATTAATAGGTTTCATTTGCTGATGGAGTTTGGGAGGATTAAACTGCATGCTATTCTGTTGTAGTAGATGGTTCTGCATATATAACTGCCTTGCAAGATCGGCAGCGCCAATATTTTGCATCGCAGGGTTACTCGCTGATCGGTAGTACTCGGACTGCATGGCTGTGCTAGCTAATGAGGAGCTCTGCTGCCGGTTCATGTTCATCCACTGAACCAAACTCAGGCCAGGCATTGTAACGCTCTGGGTTTGAGGGTCCTTTATGCATACCTCCTCACCAAGCCAAGGCATTGCTCTCTTCAAAAGACTTTCCATCTCTAATGACTCATCATCTGTTAATTCAAATTTAGAAGAGCATGAAGCATGCAAATTATCAGACATGATATGGTAATATGGTTAGCATTCTCCAATTTTAAGAACAGTGGCATCCATTTACTGACACATTTCAGTTCAATCTACTGTTTGCAAGACAACATACTTGATTATCTGTTGGTATGTTAAGATATGCAGACAGGTTATCTGTATGGCACATAAACTACGGTAAAATCTATATTCACATGCTTCTTTTGATGCACTTTATGTGCTGGAAGACTAAGAAACATAGTATATTCTCTTCCAGAAAAGAAGATAAAAAGTACCAAAAGCAGTCAATCACCACTCCACCAAGTAGTCTTTATGTATCTTTGCAATTAAGATCTTTACCCCCATACATGCAGTTAACATAGTGATTTGAAGAAATTCACCATTTTTTTACTGCAAGAATTCACAGTCTTTGTCATACTTATACCAGACGTACCTAATTGCCTAGGGCGCTTCACACCGAAGAATGGCTGGGGACATATGAAAAAAGGAGCAGCAAGCGGTTCAATCTCCCATATTGAAACTCTGTTCCTTCTTTCTCCTGCAGCCGACTCGTCCCACCCAACCTATCAGAGAAAATCAAATCAGTGAATCAGAAAGAATAACACAGTGCAAGAGCTGCAATTAGGATGGCGTTTGTAAATCCAACCTGTAAGCTGCGCCACTGGGAATTTTTCCATCTCACTGGATCTAGATCACTTATTCCAGTTATCGTACCCATGTACCTGAAAAGTATTAGATATGTCAGCACTATTTGGAGCTTCAGAGGTAAGAGTTTGTATGGGTAACTTGACATACCGTCTTGTTCCTAGTTCCTCCGTCTCGCACATCATGCGGAAGCGCATCCCTAAAGAGATCTGATTACTGTA